AGATCTCTACGAAAATCGAACTTCTCGCGGGCAGAGCTTCGGCTCGGAAACCGCACTTCTCGGGATCTTCGGGATCTCGGGACTCGCTTCGGGACTCGGGAATATTACCGGGGCTTCGGGGTATGATTGGCACGCAAATCGAGGCAAAACTTAGAGAGAGGGAAGGGTTTGAACAAGAAAAAATTGTTGAATTCGAGTTTTATTTATAGGCTGCTGGGTCTGGGATTACGCGGGGCGTACTCAACGTCATTGCATGCGTATGTGTTCGAGTGACGTCATTGCATGCGTAGCTGAGGCGGTTCACGAGTACGCTGGGCGTACCCCAAATTACGCGGGGCGTACGCTATTAAGCAAACTTCAAACTTGCGTAACTTTTGCATACGAGCTCCGTTTTCGACGTTCTTTATATCCACACGAAGGTCTGACCATACTCTACAACTTTCATTTAGACTCCATTGGCTAATTATCGCTCTATCTTAAATTCATATTTTACGTCACTCGGCGTCGTGCCGGTTCTGTCTCGAGACTTCGACAGGTCATAACTTCTTCGTTATAACTCGGATTTTGGCATTCCTTATATCTCCGGAATCCTTGTTTCAACCACTACAACTTTATGCAAAGATGTCGGGCTTATCTCACACTTTAATTTTGATGCTTATTTTATTCTTAATTCATTAAATTATAAAAATCAAGAAAATAAACACATAAATCACATAATTCACAAATAATACATTCTTATTATTTCAAGTTGAGTTACAAAGGTTAACCTAGACTATTACATTGCTAAAAATGGCAAGCCCAGAAACACAGGCGTTACAATTATCACAAAACAATTTTTTTTAACACATAAAAATGTGTCCAAACAATCACAAGATTTTCCCTAGACTCTACTAGGACTTCTTCTATGCGTATCTTCAATCATCAATTCTGCTTCAGCTCGGTGGAAATACCATACGATGGGTCAACTTCATGAATTACGCCAATCATTCCATCATCCTACCAATCGAAGGTGTACTTCGGACGTACTGTACTCCTCTAAACGTACCTCATGACATATTCTAAAGGCAAGATACCACTCTTATGATATCTTCTGATAGGTGTCATTCACTATCGTAAGCCTTTTCATTTCCTCCACTTACTCAATTATCTATGAGTCCTTATCATGACATTCTATTCTCCAAAGCAAGCGTTTGGTGTATCGAAACGAGAATATAGATAGAGGAAGAATTAGATGCGTATTCCTCCTTATTACTCCAAAAAGTTACATGTCAGTTCTAATATCGTAACTAAACGTTTAGAAACCTGAGCACATAAAATTTCCAGATCCGGTCGGCAACAGACCATAGATCCGATCATATAATGCATATCATAAATCATTTAGCACATAAAAGCATGTTAGGAATTTTGCCTAAATAAGCTAGTGCTTGTGTCTATTCAGGTGCATTACCTAAATCTATTTGACACACTCCTCACAATCATCGCTTAGCATTCTAAGTTTAAGTCTAGAAATAAATCCATATTCCTAGTTCGCTTAAACTAATGCTCTGATACCAACTGTGACATCCCCAAAATTACGGCCAGAAAAGACCGAATTTGTTTATGCTTTATAAAAATCAGAGTACTTCATTTTATAAAAAGGTTGCGGAATTTGTTCCCAGAAAAACACTATAAATACGTTATTAAAACATTTTCGAAGAAACGTATTTTTATTCGTCTTAAAACGTTTGGGATGTCATCGTTAATACAGAAACATAAGCATAAACAGAACTTACAATTATTTACACTAGTGATCTACATCTCTTTAAATCTCTCAGTGTAATGTCACTTCATATCGCCACCTGTGATGTGAATAAACTGAGTGGGTCAGGTTGGGGAACCTGGTGAGTACATAGGGTTTTCAACCCACAATAATATAATTATTATGTTTAAACAATCAAACAATCAACCCAATTACCCATCCCCATTATCTTCTTTAGTCTTAAGGATCTACCCTAAGAATCAACTATTCCTCGTTTATTTATTCCTAAGGATCATCCTAAGGAATCGACACGAAGTCCATCATTACCAAGGCTTATAGAATATATCTGGTGAACACGTAGTCCGAAACATCTGGTAAACACTTAGTTCAAAAGTAACTAGTGAACACACTTAGTTCAAAATACTTAGTGAACACACTCAGTTCAAAATACTTAGTGAACACACTCAGTTCAAAATACTTAGTGAACACACTCAGTTCAAAATACTTAGTGAACACACTCAGTTCAAAGATACGTAGTGAACACACTCAGTTCAAAATACCTAATGAGCACCTAGTTCAAAAACACCTACAGGTTACGAGCTTACTAGCGTTCTATCGGACCATCTAGTATCGCCCATGGTCTTCATCTATACTCCACTAGATGACTGGATCACTGACAACATTGTGTTATCACAAAACAACTATTTCATCTACCCATGTTTTACCCAACACATTTTGTAGATATAAAATACATATACAGTTTAAATCCTTTAAAACATGTATAAAACGTTCATCCAGCATAGACAACAAGTATTCAGATAATATGCACACATAACACGTAGTTTATATAAAATACTTCATATCTATGTGTAAGATGAAAGGGACCATGCACTCACCTGAGTAGGTGGTGACTCAACACTCGGACAGCGCTTCGATACTCTCAAAACGATATTCCTTCGATAAAACCTAGTATCGATGCCACTAGGGTTTAGTCTAATGATAACCGCAACAAATTAATTGTCTGACTATTATTATTATTATATAAGCGTTAATAACACTCAATATAACTCATAATAATAGCCCAAATAATTATTTTAAGGACCTAATAACATTCCTATATTAAAACATAAGCTAAACTAAAGATAGGATAGGTACAACTCACTTACAGCGAGTTTTTCTCGAAAACCGGGCTTCGCTGGAGCAGCGTTCCCGAGCCGAAAGGCTCTTTACTCAGGACTCCGGGAGCCTCGGGGCTTCCTTCAGGTGCTAGGGGGTTTACCTAGGCTTTTAGGGGGGGTTAGGGGGCTAGAGAGAGAGTCTAGAGAGAGAAAGAATAGTTTAGGAAGGTGTGAAGAATGAGGGAACCCGGCACCTCTATTTATAGGGGAGGAACCTGATGGACTCGTCGAGTCTGAGTCATGACTCGTCGAGTCAGTCCATGTGGTGGCCTTCTGGTGGTGCCACGTGTCCAATTCTGGTGGTGCCACGTCACCCTCTATCGCGTATCAGCCCTCAAACTTAGAAAAATCATAACTTCTCCATACGAAGTCAGATTTGGGCGTTCTTTTTATCGACGCTCTTAGTTTAACATATTCTACGACTTTCGTTTAGATTGCTAAGGCTAAAAAGTCTTCTATCGTAAAGTCACTATTTACGTCTCCCGGTACCGTGTCGGTTTTGCCGTAAAACTTCGGCGGGCCATAACTTCTTCGTTATAACTCGGATTTCGGCGCTCTTTATATGTACGGAAAGCTTGTGTCATATTCTACAACTTGGTTAAGATTATTTATTCTAAATAATCTTTTGTCGAAAAGTTATTTTCGACCCCTATTGCCTCTAAATTGACTAGCCTGGATCTACGGCGTTACATTGCCCTAAGGGATTTTTGGTTTGCTTTCATTGCAACCAGACTGGCCATAGGAAGGCCGAGTGCCCGCAGTTGCTTCAGGGATCAGCGCATGTGACATCCCAGAATTTAGGTCTGAATCTGTAAACGGTTAGTTCACCACAGACCCTTTTGTATCTTGACCGATTAAATTTTAATGCATATTTTAATTGAAATATAGTGTCATTTCAAATAAAATAATACATGAAATTATATCTTATCTCAAATTATGGAAAGTATTGACCGAAACTTAAAACGCAAATTGTAACTTTGGTTAACGACTGAAAAACTAAAATATTGTATTAAACGTCTATAAACAAAGAAAATATTCTAGACTCGTAGTACATGTTTCCCTGATCGTGAATATATAAAGAATGCTAAAAACGGAGTTCATGTGCAAAAGATATGACCGTTTTAAGAAACCACACCTGTATAACACTACATTTATCCGATTTCATAAACCGAATTGATCCGTTAAGACACTTGTACACCTCAGATAGAAAGTTTGAGAGCGCTTATGAACTCAGACTACGGTCTAATATTTTATTTACTACTCGCAATATTTTTAGTAAAATATTTGTAAAAATCAGGCATATCAAACCAATTACACGCGAACTTTAAACACAAATTCCTAGTCTTCTACAACTCGAAACATTTATCCGTTCGGGTTTTTAAAATCCTTCAATTAAAATCTATCAATTGGTAGTATCAGAAAAATTTCCCGAGGTCGGGAATTGGACATGCGAATCGAAACCCGTTTTTAAGGTTAAATGAAATGTTATGCACCGAAATAAATAAAAAAAATAATAAAAAAATAAAAAAAAAAAAAAAGTTATGGATGCAGCATAGATATAGTTAGGAAATGTCCACGGAGACTTTACACACTGATCAAAATTTTCATACTCTAATGGTGAAAGAAAAACAAAGAAACCCAACATTTGTCGATCACTCCTCTCAACCTAATTCAAACTTCATATTTTCCTCTATGTATTGGGAAGGGTAGTGTACATAACCATAATCTGACCAAGGCAAAAAAATAGACAAAACTGCGAATTTGGTCCTTGTGGTTTGCCAAAACCTTTGGATGGGGTCCAAATAGTTTCCAACTTGCACCAAAGGTCCAAAATCAAGGTTTTCTTGGGTTTTTAGTCCATTCCGTCATTGACCGTTTGTTTGGGGCCGTTAGTGCCTACACGTGCCCTCCATGTGAGGGTATTTTGGTCATTTTAGGTCAGCCTCCGTTGCCGCCACTTCAATTAATAAGAGTTCAGACTGTACTCACTCCTTCGTCTTCTACTCATTCCTCACTCCTTCGTCTTCTACTCATACCTCTTGATTCAAACGCAAAAACCCTAACGATCATCTGAAACTTTGAAAATGTGGGGACTTAGAAATGTTGGAGAGATTGTCAACGTTCAAGAAGTTTATGGTAAGATTCAAACTTAGAAAAACTCTGTATTTTATGATCAAGCTTCAAACTTTGAAAAACTCTAACTAATAATCGTCTCTTTCTGTTTTGAAGATGGTTACCCCAACATATTCTCTATTGAACTTCATCACGGAGGGAGTTTCACAAAGTTTCCAAATATCAGGTATATTAATGGCCAAGTAAGGTACTTTGATGTTGTCGACATTGATGAATTTTCTGTTCATGAACTAGACTCGATGATGAGAGAATTAGGGTATGATGGTACTGAAATCATGTATTACCATTTCCGTTTGCCTAATGAAGGATTTGACTTTGGACTCCGAGCATTAGGTAACGATGATGATGTGCGTAATCTCTCACGATATGTTACCCATAATAACAAAATGATTAAAGTGTACACAGAGCATGGTCAAACGAACTTGCTTACATATTTTATGTCCCCAACTGGTCCAAAAAGGGTTATAATAGAAGACATGGAGAAGCAGGATTGCATTAGACCCTCATCACCTGTAGTTGCTCATGAAGTGGTAACTCCAATCCAAATTGATGTTGGTGAGGGTGATTTAGGGTTAGCATTAACCTTATACAAATCAGCAACACCTGAATTTAGTAGGTCTAAAGGTTGGAAACATAGTAAAGGGGCATCGTCTTGTAGTAGAATGCTTAAATTGGATTGGGAAGGTGCTGAAAAAACAATGGCAAGTGGTGAAGTTGATAAGGGTAAGGGTGTAGAAGGATTTGTAGATGAATTTGTTGTAGTTGATGCAGAAAAAGAGTTAAACAAAGAGATTGATGTGAATGAAGAACTTGATGTGAACAAATCCAATGGTGAGGGTGTAGAAGGATTTGCAGATGAGGGGTATAGAGTTGTCATGGATAATGATCCTCAAGGAGTCAATGAATTTTCAACTAACATCAACATAGATGATGAGTTAATGACAAACTTTCAACCTTTTGAAGGGTTTGAAGACGAAGATAGCATCCCATTTAATGGGTTTGAAGGCCAAGATAATATTCCTTTCAATGATGAGTGCAGACAAGAGGAGCCTGATGACATTGAGTTTGAGAATCAAAACAGTGAAGATGAAGATAGTGACTTTATGATTGATGAGGACAACATAATTGAAGATGTTGACGTTGACATGGAGGATTTCAATCTAAATATTGATATAGAAGCAGAGTTCAATGGATGTCAAAGAATGGGTGGTCAAAGAAATGAAGATAGTGTTGAAGAAGATGATTTGGAGGTAATTGACAATGACGAGTGGGATTCACTAAGTGATGACTCAGGGGACAACAGGAAAAGAAGAGAAATGATCAAAGAGCTGGGGAAACAAACCTTATGTTCTGCTGGTGAGGTGCACAAGGTAGCTTTTCATATTGGGCAGAAATATAAAGCCAAGAAAGAATTGAAAGATAAAATTGACCTGCATGCTTTAGAGACAAGGAGGAATATCTCATTCACAAAAAACGACAAGAGTAGATTAACAGCTGTTTGTGATGGAACTGTAGTTTTAAATGCAAGTGGGGTAGGTGGACCTACCTCTGGGAAAAAGGTAAAGGGTAAAGATGTAAACTCAGATAAAGTTAAATGCACATGGAAACTTCATGCATCTAGGTCAAGTGAACAGGACTATTGGTTTATTAAGACGTATAATCAGAAACACATCTGCCTCCAAACACGAAAAATCAGATCTTGCACAGCAACATTTCTTTCCAAACGTATTATGGATCAGATTGAAGCTAATCCTGGACTGCCTGTTCGTGCCCTACAAGAGCAACTCCAATCAACTTATGGAGTTAGTATTTCAGAAGAGAAAGCATTTAGGGCAAAAGCATTAGCCACCAAAAATGTTGCAGGGGATTACGTAAAGCAATATGCAGCTTTGAGAGACTATGTACTAGAGCTACAAAAGACAAATGAAGGTACAACTGTAAAGATTGATGTGGTTTCAGAACCTGTGGTTTCATCCCCAACCAGGCAATTCAGAAGGATATACGTGTGTTTAGGTCCTTTGAAGAAAGGTTTTAAGGCAGGTTTGAGAGAATTTTTAGGCTTAGATGGAGCCTTCATGAAGGGACCTTTCCCAGGTCAAATACTAAGTGCAGTTGGTGTTGATTCCAACAATGGAACCTACCCATTGGCATATGCTGTTGCTGAAAGTGAAAACACTTCAAGTTGGAAATGGTTTCTTCAGTGTCTTGCAGAAGATCTTGACTTGTATTCAAATTCCAACTTCACCTTTATCAGTGATAGACAGAAGGTACTATAGTTACATTTAATATTGCATACTAGTTTCATTACAAACTAATGATAATTTCTTATTTTGTTTTGGTGACAACAGGGTCTTCTACCAGCCATAGAACAATTGTTCCCTAATGCAGAACACAGGTTCTGTATTAGACACATATACCAGAACATGAGGATGTTATTTAAGACTACAGAGTACAAGGAGTATTTTTGGAGGTGTGCTACAGCCACCACCATACCAGAGTTTGAAGCTGTAATGGTAGAGCTAAGGAATTATGACATAGAAGCATATCAATGGCTCTTGAAAATCCCTCCACATCATTGGGCTAGAAGTCATTTTTCTGGTATTTTCTCAATTTGTTGTCTTATTTTTTATTGTAGTATAGATATACACTAACTGTTGTTTTGTTAATGAACTATTAGGAAGGGCAATTTCAGACATGTTATTGAATAACCTTTGTGAAGTGTTCAATAGCAAACTTGTAAAAGGGAGAGACAAACCCATTATCAGTTGTTTGGAGTTCATCAGAGAGTACCTTATGAAGAGAGTATGCAATGTGATGAAGGTGTTAAACAAGTGTCAAGGTCCATTAACTCCAACTGGTACTAGGATTTTGGAAGCAAACACAACACTAGCTAGTAAGTATCATGCACGATGGAATGGGGGACAAAAGTATCAGGTTAAAGGTCCATGGAATGATCAACATGTGGTGGACATGGAGAAAAGGGAGTGTAGTTGTAGAAAGTGGGAGCTTACTGGAATTCCTTGCAAACATGCTATTGCAAGCCTAAATGAAATGGCAGACAACAATGAAAAGGTAGGAGAACTATACACCTATGTGCATAAGGTGTATTGGCTTGATACATGGAAAGAGATGTACTCCTTCAAGGTGGAGCCTATCAAAGGTAGAGCCATGTGGCCTAAGAGTGACTGCCCAACAACTCTTGTGCCTCCACCACACAACAAAGCTATAGGCAGGCCAAAAAAGAAAAGAAGGATTACAGCAGAGGAAAGGATTGAAATCCAGCAACGTAAGAGGCAAGCAAACAGTCAAAGTCAAAATGATAATGAAACTCAATCACTGAGCAGGAAGTTTTTGACTGTTACATGTAGTAAGTGTAAGCAAAAGGGTCACAATGCCAGGACCTGCAAGGCCAAAGATGGGAATTGATGTTTAAGTACTTTTTATGTTTGTCAAGACTTGTTAATGCACTTTAGTTGGTACTTTGTTGCCTTTTTTTTGTTCCATTTTGATAATGTACTTTGATGCCCTTTTGATAATGTACTTTAATGCCCTTTGTTGGTAATGATTGTGTTTTGGCATTTATCTGTTATGGTCCCCTTTTGGTAATGTTGTTTGTTATTTGTTTATGTTGTACTGTCAAAGCATGAAGATGTTATGGCAATGTACTTAATGTATGCATATAAAACCATTACAATTGCATATTCAAACGTAGAGAAAAACCATTACACTTGCATATCATGTCAAGATCAAACCTTTATAATTTCATATTCATAAAAGGATAAAACCATTACACTTCCCATTGTCATAAAAGCATTACATATACAATGATCCAAAAGATAACACTTTTAAGTGGTTACTACCAACAAAAACATATATAAACCACAATTAAACCTTCTAGCACCAAAAGACAACATTTTTAAGTGGTTACTACCAACAAAAAAGTCCTAACCTCTAATTCCTATTTCCAAAACAGCACAAACAACAGAAACAAAATCCACGAGACAAGCAAACACATCTTCAGCTGGCCCACTTCAACCTCATACCTATTCATTGTTCTCAACAGTCCTGGTATGATAACAGTTGATCTTTGACACATAGGGGGATCGAACCACCCCAAAAATGCACATCTGGATCCCTACAAGAATACATTAAAGTAGAAGAGTTATTGCTTAACTACCGACTTCTCTGTAACCTAATATCAGTTTGCTAACCATTTTAGGGCATGCATAGAAACGACGACCAGGGTTTCGTGAAGTCCATGAGGTTCGCACAACAGCAACATTCCCACAGAAGCAGAGCACCATTTTTGAATCTCGTAGCAGTAGAAGTAGACGAGAGATGAAGAAGAAGAGACGAAGTAGAAGAGGAAGAGGATTCTTCTCTGTAAATAAAAATGAAGAAGAGGAAGAGGATTGCGTATATGTATATAAGGGAGAAATATGATATTATTTAAAATAAGTACCTAAAATGACCAAAATGCCCTCACATGGAGGGCACGTGTAGGCACTAACGGCCCCAAACAAACGGTCAATGACGGAATGGACTAAAAACCCAAGAAAACCTTGATTTTGGACCTTTGGTGCAAGTTGGAAACTATTTGGACCCCATCCAAAGGTTTTGGCAAACCACAAGGACCAAATTCGCAGTTTTGTCCAAAAAAATACCCAAACAATTCCATCCTATCTCTTGTTCTTCTTTCTGTTTGTAACACTCAAGAACACCTCCGGTGGAAGTGTTGTTTCTCATTTTCCGGCAAAGCAAGGAGTCACACCAACATCTTCGTTTCCCATTTCTTATCTGTTGACCGAAGCAAACGAACCACCCACTGCCGCCACCTTTGTGACCACCGGAAAACCACCATCCTAAAATTATTGCGCATACATACAGCCAAGTACCCTCAAAACATCACCACCCACTGCCTCTATCGTTTTATTGGAGCTTCTCCACCGATAACCACTCGAAATCGCCACCCACCACCCATTTCCGGTGAAGAAATCACCCAACAGCTCCCTCCTATGTAGTTCTGCTGTTTCCGTTCACCACCACCCCCTCCCTTACCTCCGCTCTCCGTATCCGTCAAGCATAAGCCAGGACGAAGCAGCAGAAGGTCGCCAGATCACCCCCCTGCCACTCAACGCCGCCGATATCCACTATCGTCGGACTTGCTGCTGCAGATGCTAACCACTCACGACCACCGCCTACCCTCTGTAAGCCCTTCCGCCATCACCATTATTCTTGTTTTAGCCCTTACGAGCAACCAAGACCTAGAGACCCAGCAGATGGGTCTCGTTTCCCTCCATTCGTCTGTAAATCACGTCCAGATGAGGAAGACGATCGATGAAAACTTCATTAGATTTTATTTAATTTAAACCCTTAGGTTTGTTACTTTTGCAGAATAAGTCCCCTTCTTGAAAATAGATCACCATTTAGGTCAAACGGCCAAATAAGATGACATTAACAGTCCCTCTCTTCGAAAAATATTAATAATATGAGTCCGAAATCGCACCTAAGGCTGAGAATGCACACTTTTAGTCCCTGCCATGCAAATATATTACAAGAACAATCCCTTGTTGAGTAATTTTAACAAAATAAATCCCTAGAATTTATCTACTTTAATATAGACCACTCCATACCTAATAACTAATACCAAAACTGCCCATTTGGTTTATTAGGTAAAATAAATAAAACCGATGATTCGTTTTGAGGGCACAGGATGTAACGAAACGACTTTCACGACAAGTTTCACCCTCGATACTCGTTCACGCTTCAAGGGTGAGTGTTACGGCCCCTTTTTATTGTTTTATTATTATTATTATTATTATTATTATTATTATTATTATTTTTTTTTTTTGGGGGGGGGGGGGGTGGGATACATGTGAAATATATATAAATATATTTACCGGTTAGACATGTGTTTAAAAACATGCTAAATCTATATATATCGGTTATGGAATACGCATGTAAAACATATATCTAATTTTAATATTTGTTATTGTTAAAATAATATATTATAAACCGATTTCTTACGATATGCATGCGTTTAAAAACATTATCTTCCTTGCGAATAATATTTTTTTTACTTATATCAAGCATGTACAAACATATATTTTAATCATTTACGTAAGAATTTTATCAATTATATCTTGAAAACCTTTCGTGCATATGAAGAAACATTTTATCTATTTAAGCGAGTGACATACATTTTTACGGATTTATCGAACTTACTCAGATTTTATAGTGAAACTTTACCGTATAACCTAGTTAATGGCCTCTATAGTGAGACAATATTCATTACCTAAGTTTAACCACTTAGTATTCCCATTTAAACCATAACCGTTAATCCTCGGAGCGAGATATGCATGTATAGATCTATACGGGTTGACACCCCCACCTGCTGTTGCTAGCTACAACCTCGACTGATCAATCGAAGCGAGTGATAATTATCTTTAGTATAACTACGACGTCTAATGAAGCGTTGTGCAGGGATTATAACGGGTCACATAGCTCGGTTATAGGACTCACTATAGGCATTAACCAGACTCTTTAACTAGAAACCACGTATTCGGTTTCTCTGTTTATCAAGCATTTTTAAGTATGGATTTACTTATGGTTTAACTTTTTATCAAGCATTTTTTTTAGTATGGATTTACTTATGGTTTAACTCTTTATCCAACATTTTAAGTATGAATTTACTTATGGTTTAACTCTTTATCAAGCATTTTAAGTATGGATTTACTTATGGTTTAACTCTTTATCCAACATTTTAAGTATGAATTTACTTATGGTTTAACTCTTTATCAAGCATTTTAAGTATGGATGTATTTATGGTCTAACTCCTTATCCAACATTTTCAGTATGGATTACTTATGGTTTATCTATTTATCAAATATTTTAAGTATCGATTTACTTATGGTTTAACTCCTTATCCAGCATTTTCAGTATGGATTACTTATGGTTTATCTATTTATCAAATATTTTAAGTATCGATTTACTTGTGGTTTAACTATTTAACAAACATTCCAATCACGAAATTACTTATGATTTCTTCCTTTATCAAACATGGTTTTAACCACAAAAGAAATACTTTCTAGACTTATAAAGTATCATTAAGTGGGGCAAGTTGGGGCCTTGATATATTGGACCTTTCAGGGTGATTGCCAGGGTAGGCAAGGTAGCATATCAGTTGGAGCTACCTGAGGAGTTGAGCCAGATCCATAGCAATTTCCACGTAACCCAGTTGCGGAAGTGTGTGGCTGATGAGACGGCAGTAGTGCCATTAGAGGACATTCAGGTAGATGCGAGCTTGAATTACATTGAGAGGCCGATCGCGATCCTAGATCGGAAAGCGAAGGTTCTGAGGAACAAGGAAGTGCCTCTGGTGCAGGTCCAGTGGAAGCATCGGAAGGGGTCCAATTTGACTTGGGAACCAGAGTCGGAGATACGGGAGCAGTACCCCGAGTTATTTAGCAAGACTGCGAGGGCGAAGTGAGATTCTAGTGGGGGAGAATTGTAACATCTCGGAATTTAGGTATATCTCTTTGATCCTTTTATTTCCTCAAGTTGTCAAAATTAGTCCTTGAAAAGAATGTTTGGCTTTTGAGTATGTTGGGCGTAAGGGAGAGTACGCTGCACGTACTCATGAGTGTATTCTTGATGCGAAGACTACCCAATACGCTGGGTGTAGCATAGTGTACATTGGGCGTACTAGGTTCAGATTGAAACCCTAATTGTGGGGGTGAGCCCTATATAAGGAACATTATGGCCTTACTTTTAGCCACCCTTTCCAGAGAGCAAAACCCTAAGTGTGCCCTAACCCTCGTACGCTGATTAAGACCATAAGTTAGATAAGAGGGAAATTGGGACGTACGCTGAGCGTAAATCCCAGTACGCGGGGCGTAGGGTTCAAGCAGCCCAATATCAGCGTAACAGTCACTACAATAAAATTTCGATTTAACTACGGAAAAATTGCGTAGCAAAATGATGTAATTTCGTAGCTAAACCTAAATAACTACGGAAGTTGCTACGGAATTTGCCAATGAGATTCCATAGTAAGATTTCTTGTAGCAAAATGTTTAACTACGAAATTATAGTTCCGTAGCAATTTTGCTATGGCCGTTGCTACGACGTCTATCCGTAGCATTTCAACTACAACACACTTCCATCACAATTCCGTAACAATGAGTTCTGTAGCAAATTCCGTATCTATTTTGTTCCGTAGCAAATTCCGTAGGCATTTGGTCCATAGCAAATTCCGTAGCTATTTGGTCGTAGCAAATTTCGTAGCCATTTGCTCCATAGCAAATTCCGTAGCTAATTGTTCCGTAGCACATTTTGTAGCCATTCGTTCCGTAACAAATTCCGTAGCCATTCATTCCGTTGCAAATTCCATAACAAATTTTTTGTAGTCAATTCCATAACAATCGTTCAATACCATTTTTTCTATAAAATTCGGTTATTTAATTTGACTTATTATATCAATTTACAAAAATACAATTAATATAAAACCAAAAATAATAAAGTATTTCTATAGAAACTAAAAGAAATATCCAATAAATCAAAATATACATATTTCAAAATTAAAAATCGCTACAAATTTAACGTAAAACATTATTCGATACATAATATTCTATCATTATTTAATAAAAGTTTTGATTTGTTCACTCAATGTGTTAATGACATTCATTGCTTGTGCAAGTTGTTGTTCAAACTTTGCTTGAACATCCACATTTTTCTCTTGAAACTCCACATTCTTTTTCTGAGCATCCTCATATTTTTGCTGAACATCCTCATATTTTTGTTGAATATCCTCATATTGTTCGCGTTGTGTCTCAACTAACTTCTTCAAATTCTCAATCTCGACTTTTGTCTCGGCATTGTTATCCTCGTATTGTTCGCGATGCATTTCAGAAGATCCTTTACTAGAACGAATGCGCTTTCCATATGAGCCAACTCCATATAATCTCTTTTTTCGATCATGTCCCCCAACAACATCATAAAATAGTTTGTCCTCATCAATTTCCTCTCCTATTGCTTCCAAGCGATCACATTGTTCCATAAAATATCCTATAATTTTATAATTGTGTTGAGATAAACTTATACAAAAAAAATCAAAAAAAAAAAATTTACATGAAATTATTAAAAATAAAACTTACATGAATTTTTTTAGCTTTGTCAACTAAAAAAGTCACTCCATCGTGATTCTTAGTCTGTGTATACAAGAATAGTTCATGGTGTGCCGGATCATGTCCCCAAAGCTTCTTCTACATATATACAAAAAAATCAATATTAAAGTAGATTGCTATTTTTACATTTAGGCTTAGATATTTAAAAATGAAAAAATAGCAACTTACTTTTAGGCTAAACCCATTTAAAAATCAAAATGGAACTAGATTGCTATGATACAAAAGTAAATGAAAGTAGATTGCTATTTTTTGCATATAGGCTCCACTCTTTAAAAATGAAAAATAAAGTAACATACTTTTTAGGATTAGTCCTCTTAAAAATCAAAATGGAACAAGAAAAACTATAACATACAACTAAAAGAAAGTAGATTGCTATTTTATGTATTTAGGCTTAGTCCTTATAAAAATCAAAATAGAACTAAATAATGGTATTTCTAAACGAAAGTAGATTGCTATAATATAAAATTAAATGAGTACTTACTAAATCAGAAGCAATCTTGGAATGAGAAGCCGATCCACCGGTATGCGTATAAAGGGCTTGTCCATTAGCTACACCTCTACGCCTATTTTTTTTTTTTTGTTTTGTTCTGATTTCTTCTTGAACTCTTCAGTATTCCATCTTGCAGTCCAGGATGTCCACACTTATGATGTTACATTAACAGGTTTTTTTAAGAGTCGGTTTTTTCCATTTGAGCTTATATTGTAGATATATTGTCTATATCTTTCCTTTGCCTTATTTTCCCAACAAGCTTGGACTAACGGAGTTTTTGCATCATCCCAATAGCACTTTTTCTACAATACAAAATATATAGATGAGTTTTTAAGTTAATGAGTACCTAATAATTGCATAAACGAGATACATACATGAAACTCGTCCCAATAAAGAAGTTTTGTCTCGTCGCTTAAAGTTGCCCAACTATACCCATTTAAATCAACTCTTTTACCAAAGGATTCATAGATAACGGAAGAACATGGGCCCGAAGGAAATAACCTACAAAAGAAAAAATTAACATTGTAAAAATCATGAAGCTCAATGTTGATAAAAATGTAAGAATTTTAACTTACTCCTTATCTCGCACTCCAATATATAGACGCCCATCCAGTCCTGTAGATCCAAGTAAATACTCTTGATGTTGAACGCCAACAATTTCCTCAACCGATTCACTACAATTTGTTGTGGATGTAGGTACAGATGATGTAGTAGATGCAGGTGTAGATGATTGCATAGATGTAGGTACAAATGATTGGGTAGATGATGTAGGTAAAAATGACTGGTTGGATGATGTAGGTAAGGATGATGAATGTGTTGATGATGTGGCACCCATAGTACCAACATGTGAAACAAATGTTGGGGCAGATACAATACCAACAGATGATAATGTGGTACGAGATGATGATGACGACAATGCTGGTGTAGATAATGTTGGTGTAGATAATGGGACAGATATATTACCAACAGATTTTTCATCATTGGTACGTTTGTTTATGAAACGTACACTTGTATGTTGCTTTCGTTTCAATGTGTCTCTTAATAAGAATTGTGACATCTTTCCTGAAGTTTTAAAAACTTAAGAAGTTATAAATATGTTAGATCACAAATATTATAGAAATAAAGACTATTTGAGTATGATAAATGACCGTTTTACCCTTCACCAACTTAGCACATTATAACATAGTTCAAAGGAATGTTAGGAAGGGAAAAAGGGGTGTCTAGATAGTATACACAAAATGAGGCCATTACTCAAATCATTTTAAACAAGAGTGCTAATACACAAAAAAGATATAGGACCAAAAATTCAAAATTATCTATAAAATATTTTGAATTTTTTCTAAGATAAAGTTAGAAAAACAATAAAAATTGGAACCCAAATGGAATGATTTCTATGGTTGCACAAAAACTGCAATTAAAATTACTACCAATCAATAGGTTTGTTTGTTGGTAAAGAAAGACCTTTCCTATAGTACTCCCAATCAATCGGCTCTGGCTCCTGCATTATCCAACAAGAAAAATCATTAATTGATATATCTAATAAAAGGGTAAATGCTGATTATAAAGATATTTCTTATAATTGAGATGCGAACAGTAGAATGATGGAGTATGCAGAGCTGGATCTTGCTACAAATGTGGCAAGGAGGGGCATATGGCCAAGGATTGCCCCAAGGGGTTTGCAGTATGTTTTCACTGCAGCCAGACCGGACACCGGAAGGTGGAGTGTCTGCAGTTGCGGGGATCAGCTCAGGGAGCACCTCAGGGATCTGCCCCTGCCGCCATCAGAGCTACCGAGAGTCAGCCAGTGAAGGCCGAGGCGCGGAGGGCACGAGGGAGAGCCTTTCAGTTGACCGTGGAGGAGATCCGCGCAGCGCCCGATGTCATGGCTGGTATGTATTCTTTCGTGTATTTATTTTGATAATTGAGATATTATGCTTATATTATGTTATGCGTAGGTACTTTTCTTGTGAATTCTGTACCTGCCTTGGTGTTATTTGACTCGGGTGCGAGTCGGTCTTTTGTATCTTTGGCTTTTAGTCATCATATTAGTGTTAGTCGCGAGGCACTGAGTCGGCCTCTGAGAGTTTCCATAGCTGACGAGAGGGCGATATATGCCACAGAGGTGATCCGCGGGTGCATACTCGAGATTTTCGGTGTTGAGTTCCCGATTGATTTGGTTCCTATTGCGATGGGTGATGTCTGTGTCATTGTGGGCATGGACTGGTTGAGCAGATTCGGTGCGGTTATCGACTGCGAGCGACAGCTGGTGACCATACGAGACCCTAGTAGGGGAGTTCTTACGATGTACGGCGAGGGTACCCGTTCTGGATCAGTGTTTTGTTCGGCCGCTAGAGTGAGGCAGTGTCTACAGCAGGGTTGTAAGGGTTTTGTGGCGTACGTGATGGATACGCGGGTTGACTTCGAGAGGCCGAGGTCAGTGGAGGAGTTTCCGATAGTGCGTGAGTTCCCATATGTCTTTCCAGAGGAGTTTCCGGGTGTGCCTCCCGTGTGGCATGTGGAGTTCAGTATCGATTTGGTTCTGGGAGTCGCACCTATTGCCAAGGTGCCTTATCGCCTTGCACCTTCAGAGATGCAGGAGTTGTCCTCACAGCTTCAGGAGCTGTTGGGAAAGGGGTTTATTCGGCCGAGCAGCTCGCCGTGGGGAGCGCCTATCCTTTTTGTTAAGAAGAAGGATGGTTCACACCGAATGTGCATTGATTACCGGGAGTTGAACAAGCTGACGGTCAAGAACTGTTACCCGTTGCCGAGGATCTACCATTTGTTTGATCAGTTACAAGGGGCATCTTGGTTCTCCAAGATCAATTTGAGGTTTGGATACCATCAGGTGAGGGTGCGAGATGAGGACATCCAGAAGATAGCATTCAGGACGCGTTATGGGCATTACGAGTTTGTGGTGATGCCTTTCGGGCTCACCAATGCCCCAACAGTGTTCATGGATCTCATGAACCGAGTGTACAGGCCGATGCTGGATCGGTCAGTGATTGTCTTCATCGATGACATCTTGGTATATTCGAGGTCTAGACAGCAGCACGAGGAACATTTGAGGGAGATCCTCGGGGTTTTGAGATCGGAGAGGCTTTATGCCAAATTCTCCAAGTGTGATTTCTGGTTGCGAGAGGTCCAGTTCCTGGGACATCTCGTTAACCAGAAAGGGATATTGGTCGACCCGGCCAAAGTTGAGGCAGTGATGAGATGGGAGGTGCCGAGGTCACCCTCCGAGATCAGGAGTTTTCTAGGGTTGGCCGGTTATTATCGGAGATTTATCAAGGATTTCTCTAAGATCGTAGTGCCACTCACCAGATTGACCCGGAAGGGTGTAGCTTTTTCATGGGGCCCCGAGCAGCAGACCTCCTTTGAGATGCTTCGCCAAAGGTTATGTGAGGCCCCGGTGTTAGCCCTCCCGGAGGGAATGGAGGACTTTGTGGTGTACTGTGATGCATCGATCCTGGGGATGGGAGCGGTGCTGATGCAGATAGGGCATGTGATAGCATACGCATCGAGGCAGCTGAAGCCACATGAGACGAGGTATCCCACCCATGACCTAGAGTTGGGGGCAGTGGTGTTTGCTCTCAAGATTTGGCGTCACTATCTGTATGGGGTTCATTGTACGATATACACGGACCATAAGAGTCTGAAGCATTTGATGGATCAGCCCAACCTAAATATGCGGAAGAGGAGGTGGTTGGATGTGGTTAAGGATTATGATTGTGAGATCCTGTACCATCCAGGCAAGGCTAATGTGGTAGCCGACGCCCTGAGTCGCAGGGCGGAGAGCGCCCCATTGCGAGGTGTCTGTTTGTGTTTGACCGTGATGGCTCCGGTGTTGGACACCATTCGTGGAGCACAGGCTGAGGCAGCGAGATCGGAGAACCAGAAGAAAAAGCAAGTTGTAGGATTAGTATCGGAGTTTGTTACCGATGGTCGGGGACTTATGACATTTCAGGGGCGGATTTGGGTACCGTTTGTGGGAGGAATGCGTACCATCTTGATGGAAGAGGCTCATCGGTCGAAATTCTTGATCCATCCTGGGGCCACTAAGATGTATTTGGATCTGAGGAAGGAGTATTGGTGGCCCTGTATGAAGAGGGATGTTGCGTGGTTTGTTGAGAGGTGCTTAACCTGTCGTAGGGTTAAGGCCAAGCACCAGAGACCGCATGGTAGGTTGCAGCCGTTGGAGGTTCCCGAATGGAAGTGGGAACAGATTACCATGGATTTTATCACCAAGTTTCCAAGGACTGCGAGGGGAGTCAATGCAATTTGGGTGATTGTGTACAGATTGACGAAGAGCGCTCACTTCCTTGCTATTAGTGAGAGCTCCTCCACAGAGAAGTTAGCAGAGATGTACGTGAGGGAAGTGGTATCTCGGTATGGGGTGCTGATCTCGATTGTCTCAGACCGGGATGTACATTTCACTTCCAGATTCTGGAAGAATTTTCATGAGGAGCTGGGTACTAGACTGCATTTTAGTACCGCATATCACCCCCAGACAGAAGGACAGAGTGAGCGGACGATTCAGACACTCGAGGACATGCTTCGGGCATGTGTATTGGATTTCGGGGGAAGTTGGGATACATACTTGCCCTTGGTAGAGTTTTCTTACAACAACAGCCATCATTCGAGCATTGGTATGCCACCCTTTGAGCTGTTGTATGGGAGGAGGTGTCGGACCCCCATTAGCTGGGGAGAAGTCGGACAACGTGTTATGGGCAACACTGAGATCGTACTTCAGACGACGGAGCAGATCCAGCAGGTCAGACAGAGGTTATTGATCGCTCAGAGTCAACAGAAGAGTTATGCGGACAGACACCAGTCCGAGCTTGAGTTTCAGGTCGGCAACTTTGTGCTCCTGAAGGTCTCTCCTTGGAAAGGAGTGATTCGATTCAGGAAGAGGGGCAAGTTGGGGCCCCGATATATTGGTCCATTTCGGGTGATCGCGAGGATAGGCAGGGTAGCCTATCGATTGGAATTGCCAGCAGAGTTGGGGCAGATTCACGACACTTTCCATTTGTCACAATTGCGGAAGTGTATAACCGATGAGTCGGCAGTGGTTCCACTAGAGGATATTCAGGTGGATACGAGCCTGAATTATGCTGAGAGACCAGTGGCAATCAAGGATCGAAAAATCAAGGTTATGAGGAACAAGGAGGTACCCTTGGTTTTGGTTCAGTGGCAGCATCGGAAGGGGTCCGATATGACTTGGGAGCCGAAGCGTGAGATGCGCGAGCAGCATCCGGAGTTATTTGCAGAGAGAGACTTCGAGGGCGAAGTCTGTTCTAGTGGGGGAGAATTGTAACAGCCCGGATTTCCAGGTATTATTCATTCTTATATTTTTAGTATTTTGTGAGGAGACTCGGCGAGTTGGAGCTCAAACTCGCCAAGTAGGATCGCGATTTGGACAAGGATTCGCGTCTGGACTCGGCGAGTCCAAGGAGTGGACTCGGTGAGTCCACGTTGTTTAATGAAACCCTAATTCCTCGGGTTTGGAGCCTATTTAAGGGCACTTATAGCCTCCCATTTGCGACTATTAGTCCCTTGAGAGAACCCTAAGAGAGCTAATTCGTTTTGGGAGAGAGGAAGTCACTTTTGGGCCTTTGTATTCCTTGTCTAGAAAGAGGAAGGTGGCAAGAGCAAGGAGGAGGGGAGATTACAGCAGATCCAGAGTCCAAAGGCTTCATTTTGAGGTAAGGGTTCGAATCTCCTTCAGTTATAGGGTTGATCTTTAAAGTTAGGGTTTTATACCCCTTTTTGCAGAGTGATTACGTGAAGCAAATGGTCCCTCTTTGAGTTTGTGCCTTGGATCTAGACTCAAAGAGGTCCAGAGACCTTAACCAATGGAGCTTTTTGGGTTATTATGGAGTCTTTGGACCTAGGTGGTTATTTTTGGGACAAAATATCCTTTTGATGCCTTGTGGGGGTTAAACAAGCATCAAGCTTCGAACTTTACGTAACATTCATGCTTGGGAAGGCTAGATCTAGGGTTTGGGAAAGCAGATCTGACCTCAGAAGTTCAATAAAAGTGTGTGAATGGCATGAACTCGCCGAGTTGTTATTGGGACTCGGCGAGTAGGGTTGGGGTTTCACATAATATGTTCAGTGAGTGGACTCGCCGGGTTGGGGGATAACCCAGTGAGTCAGGAAGAGTTAATATGGGGATGAGTCAAGCCGGAACTCGCCGAGTTGTTCTTGGGACTCGGCGAGTTGAGTTGTGGTTGCCCTGCGATTCAAGCCAGGTGGAAACTCGTCGAGTTAAGGGAGTGCTTGACGTGCCAAGAAAGATCCGAGGGAGTCAGTGAACGCGTTAGACTCGCCGAGTTGCTTTGGTGGACTCGCCGAGTCCGGTCAAAGTTGACCGTTGACCAGAGTTGACCAATGTTGACTTGATAGGTCTAGTCAACCTTTTGTTGTAAAAGTGTTAATTAGAGATATATTGTATTATAGGAAGATTATAGTGCGGAGGATCGAGCACGAGTGATTCCAGGGATTTGCGAGTTATCGAGATACACGAGGTGAGTCTTCTCACTATACTTTACCTTGAGTAGGTAACTAGAGTTATGTGATACAGTGCTTGTATGTTATGTATGTGTTATGTGTTGCGCTGCATTATTCTATGTGATTTATGCTGTTCATGTTTACAGAGTTAGAACCTGAGGATTCACAGAGTTTGGATGCACGGACCCATAGAGTTATAGCCTCGAGTGGCTAATATGTGTTATATGTGGTATTTTGGGGAAGTCGCTAAGCTTTGTGCTTACAGTGTTTGGTGTTATTTGTTTCAGGTACTAGTGACGACCGTGGGAAGGCGCCGACTTGATCAGTACACACACATGGGATTTTATGTTATGAGATCTTGGGATTTTTGTATGACATGAATTGTATTTCAAACATGGGTGTTTTTATGAATATTAAATGACTTATGTTTTTATAAAAATGCGAAAAATTATTTTGAAATTTACGGTGTTACACTACTTTCAATTTTTTTCTATTAAACATCCTAATTTTAAGTTCTTTTCCTATAATACATCATACTTTGAAAAATTGTTAGTTATGCCCTTTGCTCTAAATATAGAATATCTATACAAGTTACTTGTTGCTGCCCTTAAGAGATTAGCTATTACAGACAACTTCATTTGATCATCATTTGTACTATAAACAAATATTTAAAAACATAAAGATTACAAGTATATGCCATTAGTCATATCCAAGCAAAAACCACGTAAAAGCAAGAAAGATATCAATAATAACAACACCATTGAATCTTCTTAAAATAACTATATGTTTCACAAGGATAAAGTAGTTGCAAGAATGTGCAATATGAAACTAATAATAATAATAATAATAATAATAATAATAATAATAATTAATTGTCGTTTCAAAGATGATGAATTTAATTGTTCACTCCTAAATTCATCCCATGATATTGGCTTCAGTCATAAGGTCTTTTATTGCGGTAGACTTTTATGTTTTGAAAAGTAAGAATTTTAAAGTAGGCTATAAATTTGTGTCTATTACCAAATTTGGGCCGAGAGTATGCCATCCAGGATTTTACTTTTCATGGAGAATTTTAAAGTAAGCCCACAAATTTGGTGATTTTAACCTATATATTTTACCAAATTTGTGTCTATTGAGGATTTTTGTTGTACATATCATTCTTTCAGTACTTGAATCCACATTTTTTTATTAAAGAAAATTAAAACTGAATGTTATGCTATATCTACTAACAGCATAATAAACACTTGTCAAATTTGTATTTTGATAAGTATGGACTTCAAAATGATTAATGTGGGAGCCGAACTAGCCTCGGGGGCATGGTTTTATCACATTGACAAAATGATCCTACTTTCTATAAATTAACATAAAAATATTCCTTCTTTGTTTATTGCGTGTATACATTTTTTTAAAATAGTTACCATTATATTAAGGTTAAACTGAATCTCATGATTTCAGATGGTTAATACTTCTAAAAGTCGTGTTTTATCAAACTTCTGTTTTTGATTGATAAAACTAGGATTCTTTATCATGTTTCAAATCATATCTACCTGGATGGACTTTTAGTCTTTTACTGTGGTGGAGACTTTTATGCCAGCCTAGCAATATGTTAGTTTATATGCATGACAGAGAAGCCAATCATGGAGACTTTGTTTCTAAACAGAATAGTGCTTTAGCTATGGAATTTTCTTCCTAATTAACATGAAAGAACAGATGCTTACAGTGATACAAGAATACCAATAAAATCGTTTAGGGTTTGGGGAAGTACTTGAAATCGGAATGTTGTGAGCAGCGACGACGTGGCTAAGCAACGGGCGGCAGCGGCAGCGGCAGCAGGTTGAGAGAGAGAGAGGAAGAGATCCGATCTTGACCATTGTCCGGCAATGGATTTGAACTCAACAAAAATACCCCTAATTTGTGAGGAAGTAAATTGGGGATATTGAATTTACTAATTTGCCCCTAATGAAACATTATTGAAACAAACTCAAACATTATTGAAAAAAACTTTATGTGGCAATTACTTGACCATTTTTTTAACTAAAAAGTCAAAATAAAACATTTTAATTCTTTTTTTTTAGAACAGCTAGTACAATAGAGGGTAAATAAATTTTGATTTAGAGGTAATAATTTTCAAAGTCGGGATAATATTATTATAAGAAAATTAGCAAATGTATGTCATCAAAATCTAAAAATTGAAGCTAAAATATTTATAATGTAAAAATAATTGTGCATTTTTGTTTTTGTTGTTGAGTTTTCAAAAATAATTGTGCATTTTTAATATATCTTTTCAAAAATCTTCTATATTTTGCTACGGAAACATATTCCGTAACTATTTCACTACGAAATTTTCCGTAGCCAAATACCTATGGATTTTGATTTCGTAGTTATTTTGCAAATTCACCTTTTTTGTAACATATTCTATAATAGATTAGCTACAAAATTTTATTTTGTAGCAAATTTCCTAGCAAAATAGCTATGGATCCTAATTCCATAGCTAACTTGCTACGGATTTTTATTTTGTAGCCATTTTTGTAGCCAACTAGCTACATACATGGATTTTGTAACAAGTTTCATAGAGAACTAGCTACAACCAAAAAACTTGTAGCATTATTTGTAGTAAACTAGCTACAGATTTTAATTCCGTAGCAACTATTCAAGATTTAGCTACGGAATGCAATTATGTAGTCATTTCCGTAGCAAATTAGTTACAACCAACCATTTTGTAACATATTCCGTATTGAAATAACTATGAATTTCGATTCTGTAACAACTTTACGTAGCTATTTAAGATTTAGCTACGTAATGCAATTCCGTAACGATTTATATAGCAAAATAGCTACGACAAGTCGTTCCGTAGCATATTCCTTAGTAAAATAGAAACGGATTTTGATTCCATAGTAACTTTTCGTATCTATTTAGCATTTTTCTTGTAGTGGGTCGAGTACGCCCAATGTAGGGATGGATCTGGTACGCGCCGCATACTCCTTAGGGTTGACTTTAGTTGACTTTTAGGGTTTAGTCAACAAATGGGCTTTTGGACCATTGGAGGGGTAGAATGGTCTTTTACCCTTCTGAGAGAGCATAGGAAGGGATTAGTCTAGCCTTTGAGAGTCTTTATTAAGTAGAGATATTTTCTGTATGTGATTAGGTGGAGGCTAGATCAATGTTTCGAGTTCGAGATCATTCGAGTTACCCGAGGTGAGTCTTCTCACTATCCATTACCTAGGGTGGTATCTATGTGTGGACCAGAAGGTCATATGTGTTTACTTGAGATTATGTGTTTTGTGATTATGTATGCTATGTGCTATTCTGACCGGACTGGAGGGTCCAATGATTTACGAGGCCAGAGGGTCCTCAACCAGACCGGACCGGAGGGTCCAACGAACTAGACCGAACCAAAGGGTCCAACGAGCTACAGGACTGGAGGGTCCCGCTGATACACATTGACCAGAGGGTCGTACAGAGTATAGCCTCAAGTGGTGAATTGTTGTATGTGGTATTTTGGGGAACTCACTAAGCATTCCTGCTTACCGCGTTATGTGTTTCCGGTACTTCCAAGGATCGCCGGGAAGGCACCGACATGATTGTACACACACTCTTGATATTGAGCTATGATTGTGGATCTTGGAATTGAATAATTGTGTTGAAAACTTGTTGGTTGTTTTGAGAATTAATGATGAGATATTTGTTTATGAGTTTTTAAATTGAAATTTTTTTTTGAAAAATCATGTCGTTACATTCATCTTAATGCTACTACAAATGTTGTGTTGAATGATACTAAAAAAGAGTAATAAAATGAAAAGGTAAAAAATAATTTATACTTAAAAAGACAAATAAAATTGTAATATATGATTATAAATGTAGGGTGTACCCTAAGCATTCATTGTCCAAATCTATATTATTGTTACATATGATGATATGAACATATACCCATTAAAGCAACGATTGATTATATAAATTGCTTACCACTCCACCGACTATTACAGTTATATCATCCATATTTCCACTTGCATAGAAACCATATAACCATCGGTACATATCCTACTTCCACTTTCAGCTTTTAGAAAGTTCTACAAGTACAACACAACATCCATGAAACTATGTATAACCACTAATTTCTAAATGCCATTAGTCAAAGATGAGCCAATACTTTTGCTATCACTCAAATCAAAGATTTGTTCCATCAGTCACTTATTCTCTTGAAAATTGTGTTGGATCCATATCCTTTTCATCTCACCTACCACAAGAAGGATCATGAATTGAAAATCAAATGGTTGTATGCAATTGGGGAAAATGTTTACTATTAACAAATTGAAAGTTTTGAGCTCCAAAAATGCTTAACATGACAAAGGAAGCAATATTATACCCAGAAACACCATCTGTAACAACAATAACTCCACCATTGTAAGTGCTCGCAAAGAAAGCGTCTTCCCTACCTTTTGCAACCTTGAAAGAAATTAACATACACAAAATGATCCAATAGGGAACAAAATTGATTTCATACCCACTGTAAGAGGAACATATATACCTTTTTCGGTTGCAGAATGAGTTGAGTTCCAACATGAATAGACAACTGAGGCTAACAAATTTAACAAACAACCAAAATTTGATATATAGACTCAACTGCCTGAATTGTAGCACCCATGGCAAGATAACTGTAAGAACGTGGGAAGGAGGTTGAGATGATTTTACTATAGTTGAGTCCAACAACAAAGTCAGGATCTTCTGGTTTACACCAAGCAACATAATACCCCGAGCCCTAAATCTAAATTGGATATCCCATGCAACATATTTTCTGCTCCTCCAGATGATTTTACCAGATAATTTCCAGTCATCTAATTCCACTAATTCATTCTTCCACCATATGAAAAAACAAATTGATAGATCGTACATATTTTACCTTCCTTGAATCTAGTTGGTCCTTGTAAACAGTTCCAAATCAACCTTCTCCTATCAAATTAGAAATCATGAAGTTCTGTGTAGATGCATCAAGCTGACAAAATGTATAAGCATCTGACTACTCCATGCCAAACCTTTCACTCATATAATCCACACCTTTTCCATCTGCACACGAACAAAACAAATTCCAAAAAAACCTAATCACTTGATTTTTTATAGATCTTCAAAAGAGATCTATAAAGTTTGATAATCCTACCAGTAACATCTTTATAGTTTCTCCCATTCCCATTAGCTGCAATTAGAAATAAATTAATTAAGAACCCCAATACGGAACTAAGTGAATAATATTGAATAACAATAATTATGATAAAACCAGCTACAAACCAGGAAACTCATCCGAATCCAAATCTCCATACACCATTAATGTAGAAGGTCCACAAGGAATGCTGAAAAATAGGACCCTAGAAAATAACATAAAAGGGTAAGTGGGTAATTGAGACTGTCATATACATATTATTAAGTGTTAACCACTCCACCAAGAAATAATAATTAGTATATGTAAATGATCACAAATTTGTAAACAACTTTCAGAAGGAAGGGAAGAATAAAAACTCGACTTCAAAGCATGAACAATAAAAAATAATCAACAAAGTTTATAAGAAAGTCAAAATCCAAACTTGCATCTCTCTCTCTCTAAATGTGTGTGTGTGTGAAAGATTGAGATCACACACTGCTCAAGATCAAACACTTCAAGCCTATCATAAGCAATCATAATTTATCTTCAAAATTGGGGTTTTAGTTTACTTCTTGTCCAAGATCAAATCAAATGTTTTTTGTTTTATATCAGAATGTATTTGCCTTTGTATATGATATACCTTGCTAAATGGAGAGAAAGCCTCTTTCAGTGATTTTTCATTCAACTAACCATCACAACCCTTCAATACCCACATCCAAGAGCTAAAAGGTTCACAAGAATAATTATATAATGACCCTGAAATCACCACTATTTACTGTCAAATAATAATTTGAAGAAAAACACATGTTGGTAAATCGGGGAATACCTGAAGTGAAGCCCAACCCAGTGAATAAGAGGATACATGAAGTGAAGTCAACTACTAGTTTAGCACCTATAAACCAATCAATCCCATATCCTTCATTAGGTTCCATGATTTCATGAACATAACCAAGCAAATTCACTTGAAATTTAAATAAATTTGAAAGCAAGAACCAGAAGCAAAAATATGTATTGGATTACCTTAAGATCGATGAATTTAAAGAAAACAAAGTTGATGCGTGAAACATTATACAAATGTTTGCAGGTTTCCATGTGTGAAAGCAATTTTATTATTTTAGTCAGGGACCATTAAACCTAGCCATGCGTCTTCCACTTTGATTCAATTTTGAACTTGAAATCTCGCTAGATGTTTGACTAAATGTCCACACAAATACAAAAAAAATCTCATAGAAATCCCCATAAAACCTACTGGCTATCTTCGTCGTTCTCTGCACCTAATTTTCTGTTCATCGATTAAGTGATAGTCGTATCATTATATAGGCCCGATTTCTAGGTCGTGGTTATGGAAGTTACCGAGTAAAAAGCCTTCGTATCGTGATGATTGAAGGAGAACTACGGTGTGTTTGGAAGGAAACTGAAAACTGATAATCGTGGGAGGAGAAAACGATAGATGGTGAGGACGTGGGGAGAAGAAGTCGGAGAAGACGCAGAACCGCTGCTAGCGGTTGTGCAACTTGAGTTATTATGGCCGGGATGAAAAGTTGGAGGAGTTTGACATCCTGCCCCCGAGTTCAACTTAAAGAGAGAAAAGAAAGGAAATGGAAGAAAATGAAGGGAAAGTAAGAGCGAACGGTGCTCCCGAGTTTCATTAAAGGAAGGAAGTGGAAGGAAATGGAAGGAAAACTTTCTCTCCTAACTTTCCTCCCGATTTGGGAGGATTTGAAAAGAAAGAACAAAATGTTTAACTTTCCTTCTATTTCTTCACCAACTCGGGAGCACAAATGACAATTTCTTTTTCCTTTCTTTTCTTTTCTTTTCTCTCATTACTTTCTCTTCTCTTCTCTTCTTTTCTTTGCTACAACTCGGGAGCTGGGTGTGAATGGCTGTGATTTTGATGACGGTTTTCACTCATCGTCATCCATAGTATTAATAATTAAAGTATTAATAATTAATAATGTTGTAGAGGGTATGAACCCAAAGCATAAGCGAAGTTTTCCAAAACATGACCGTATTTTGGCCAACCATGCCAAGGATAGGAATGTACTTCCTTAAAACCCATTTCTACCCTCTTTTTAGCATCTTGACACCAAAGCATGGTAGTGCTTCCAAATTTTGCCTAAACATTTCTTTTAGGTAGTGTTTTCTCTCGTTAGTTCGAATTTAGTTCAATCCTCAATTTCAAATATGTATAACTTTCTCATACGGACTCCGTTTTAGCGGATTCCTTTGCTCATGCATTCTATATTGTTGTGAGTATTTGTTTTTAAACAAATATGCATTTAAACCTCATTAGGTTGTACTTTTATAATGATAAACATCGTCTATAGGCTAACACCTTAATAGTACAACAATTCCTCCCAAAGCAGTACGACCTTTCATGGTACTATTCTACCAATAGATACAAGAGTTATTGTTATACAACCAAGTGTTTTGAGCGGATATATACACCTCGATTTACTATTACAAATTCACAAAATGGATGTTATATTATCTATTGATTTTCATTTTTTTTTGTTCAATAAGTAAGCAAATCCATAAATCTGACTACATTGTAATTTGGAAAAACGTGAGGTCACAAAAAAATGAATAGATTCTTCTGAATATGGGTTAATCCTAACGTAGACAAGGATGGGTGGTTGAAGAATCAAATGTTTTTCAGATTTGTGTTAATTTCATATTTTGATATATTTGTTGTCATTTTAGTTTATTGCAAGTGTTAGGTATATTTCTTTTAACTTTGGGTGGTGATCAGTGGTTGAATAAGTGATGGAGGTGGAGTATCGGGAATATGCATGTTATTGGTAAAAATATATAAAGTACATTGCTATTATCGGTGAAGAAATATAAGAATGTTGCTATTATAGGTAGAAAACTAGAAGTACGACCCTGTTTGATCTCTATTTGACCGAGTTTTTTGGATGACTCGGTTGGCAGATGGCTGACTGGGAAAGAAAGAAGGGTTTCCAATGCTACCCTTAAAAGTTTGGCGCCTAGAAAAGGAAAATGGGGTAATGGGAAACGAACCCATGACCTCATACTCACAAGGCAACATCATTACCACTATGCTAGAAGCTTTTTTTTTGTTTTATTCGTTCAAACGTTTATTATAATGTATAATGCTGATTAATATCAATATTAATTTTATTATTATTATTATTATTATTATTATTATTATTATTATTATTATTATTATTTTGCATATAAACGTAGAGAGCATCAGGGCAAAATGGACATTTTGCATCAGTCAGCAATAATGTCACATGTGTAATAAAGCAGCATGGTTTCTTACTAAGTCAGAATTTATTACCCAGACATATATTTCCCAGTCAGCATTTTCTTAGTCAGCAACTATGAAACGGGGCATACATTTTTTTATCGGGTAAGGACCTATACCGTAACAAAATCAAAACCTAGAGACAATCTGAATGAATAAAACAAGATATGGACTAAAAACAAAATTTTGACAAACTAAATGGACAATTTCAATAATTTGTTCTTTTATTATTTATAAAATATCCACTATGTAGCTAAATTTTTTGGTTCTTTCAGAAATATGGGCCCAGGTCAGGTTTTCCACTGTTTGGGCCAACCTTGTTTTGATAAAATTATATTAAAATTAAATTTCATCAATAATAATAATGATAAAAATACTGATCACTCAAATCCATCAAGAAAAAAAAGCCAAGCATTGTGTCTTTATTCTTACCTAATTTTTCTTCCTCGCCAAAATATATTAATAACATGAGCGGATCCAAATGACGTTCTAGTATTTAGTTGAGAGTCCATAGGCCCATCAACAATTAGTCAAAAAACCTTTTTTATATGACCAATTGACCACAATTCCAGGAAGCTGTACAAAGCCTACAGACTCCAGATTCGACGAGTTTTTTCGTTCTCTCACGTCTCTGTCTCACCTATATCTTTCTCTCTGAACTCTGAATATCCTATCTTTCGGTCTCTAGTTTCAAGTAGGTTAACCTAATTCTCATTGTTTAATTTTATTTAAACACCAAATTACTTGACTTACTTTAGTAGATTTGTGATGTTTTATATCTACGATGTAAGTTATATACCCTAAATTACATGACTTAATTTTTGGGATAAATTCGAGCTTTTCATTTTTGTGACATTAGGAGTTTTTCAATTTTCTAAACTCTAAATTAAGCATGATTATCCCTATAGTTCATATGAATTTACTTGTTCCGAAACATCCCAAAAATACAGTCCATAATTTTTGTTTTAAATCATTAAGGAAACCATGATTCATTGAACATCATAATAAAATGATGCGTTTTATACAAAAGAACATCCTATGTGCTCAAACAAACCCTAATGCTTGAATCTAGGTTTCTCTATTGTACATGCAATTCATCCAAGACTCAAGAATCCTAATCTAGCATATGAATTTTGAAATTAACATATAAGAATAGATCTAGACGATTACCTCTTAAAGAATGGCTTGAATGTTCTTGCCTTGGAGCTTAGACTCACAAGTGTCACTCCTCTAATGGCTTACAAACACCACAAACAACAGAATGATGTAGAAGAAAAGGATGAGAGGCAAAATCGCGTTCCTTAGGATCAAGTGTAGCCGATTTCCCTAGCCCTAGGGGTCCTTATATACTTTTGTTGTTAGGGTTTAGGTAATTTTTACACTTTTAAAATAGGGTTTAGGTCATTTTTGGTCACTTAACTTTTGGTTTTGTGTTTATTTGATCACTTAATTATTTTTAAGTTTTAAAAGGTCATCAAACTTTTG